AGGTATTAAAATCAGATGAGCCTTGTGAGAAATACAGTACCTGAATTTCATCATAGCCACACAGAGCAAACACTGACTCCACTAAAATACGCAGGCCTGCACACACACACTGAAATTCAGAACAATTCACTTTTATAGGGTCAGAGGTAACACCTGGAGCACTCTAGCTGCCTTGAAATGCTGGAGAGAACTGTAGCTGTGCTAAGATCGTGGAAAGTACTGAAAGATGCCTGCTGTAGTGTAGGCTAAGAGTCCCACACCAAATGTCTCCAAAGGTCCAACTGGGAGGCTACCTAGGGCATTTTGAAGAGGATTGAGATGTCTTTTTAAAAAAAACTCCTCATTATTTTCATGACAGTTTTTTAATCTCTAGAAAATGCCTGGAGCTTTAAGAATCCCAGTTGGAAACTTCCACAGCATGAATGATGTACAAGGTCTTACCAAGAACACTCTCCTCACACAGACTTTGAAAATGAATGGCCTGCTCTGGCTAAAAGGCCAAGCATAAATTAATATCAAAAAGGAAAAACTCCATGGAAGTGACATCAACAAAGTATATGACCAGAAGCAATTGGAGATAAGGCAAATGGACTCAACACCACAGGAACGATTTGGGAGCATGTTAAATGTGATACATCACATAGAACAAAGAGACGGGTATTAAAAATGACCAGAAAATACAGATTATCCCATGGGGAAAAGAGCAAACAGAAGAATATGGTTTTGAAAAATAACTTCAATAGATCATAGGCTTTGGAGTAAAAGTATTATGAAAAGCAACTAAGAATTGGGAGGAGGAAGAGAAAAAAGGAAATTAGATCAAACTGTTACAACACTGCACCACAGCAGTGAGGTGATTTTGTAGAAAAAATGATCCCATAGCTGAAATAATCAGCAATGGTAAGATTAAAAGTAATACTATTATCATTTCACTTGAAATCCCAGAACCGACAGTACGAGAGGCAGAATGAGGTGCTGCCCAAAACCTGGAAGGTAGGGAAACATAGTGCCTGAATATGAAAAAAAAAAAAAAAAAAAAAATCCTTTCAAAAGGCAGACTGGTAGAAAAAAAATAAATGGCAATCAGAATAAAGCTGTTTGCTAGATAACATGAGAAAAATAGTTATGGGGCACAGGCAGGCCTGGGTATAGTGATCCCTGAGCCACTGCCCTTTGTGTGTTATAGATGCTTTGGTAATGTCACCCCTGTCATCCCCTTGGAGAGGTGGACACAGCAGGATGTCTTAGCTGGCAGACATGTAAATATTCAGGTACCTAGGGCATTAGTAACTGTCAGACTGCAACCGGCTGGCCCATGTAGACTGGAATAAAGGAGAGATTGCATAGCTTAAGTCAGTATGTGCCTTCCAGCTGAACTTATTATGTATTTATCTTTTCAATGACTAAACTGTAATTATATTATTATACAACAGCCTCGTGAGTTTGACAATGTGAAATCATCCCTGTGAAATGGACTTTCTTTGATGGACTGAACATCTCATATTTCTATTACACCTGAAAACAAGGCATGGGTCCCACACCCAGTAAATTACCCGGAAAAATAAATATCACCTGGGCAGGAAGGTGTCCTGTGGGGTAGCTAATTACTTCCTCAGGCAACAATCTTTTGCCCCACCAGAGCACTGAGTGAATGCCTTCCTTCTCTAACAGGCACAGGGGCAGAAAGAAAGCATGTAAGAGTGTACACAAGCACACATGCGGTTTAACTGGAGATAACTGGGAAGGAGCACAGGGGTAAGAATCTTCTTTTAATTTAATTTCTGAATGTATGAAAGTGCAGACAGACAAGCATCCAGAGGTAGTTCCTATTTAAATTACTACAAGGACAGCCACACAGAGAAGTTAATGTATATCTTGGAATAATGTACACTTATTCTCACTAATTAGATACTGTTGGTTTGAAAACAGACCTCCCACTATGGTCACAGACACAAATAAGTCATACCACACACATACACACAAGTAACATGAGAACTTGAGAAATATTACATCAAAAGGAGATAAAATTTTAATGTAAATGCCATATCTAATTCATAAAAAAGCACTCATTAAAAGCTCTATGCAAAGCTTAGAAAGGTGACAAAGCAATGGTCATATGAAAAATAGGCAAAGACTGAGCCAGCAGGTGGCATGGTGGTTGAGGTGCTGGACTCCCACCTGTCTAACTGCAGTTGGGGTCCCAGACCTGGTGGCTTGCTTCCCACTTTTCCTTTCTCTCTTCTCTCTCTTCTCTCTTGTGAGTGCACGTGTCTTATGGCAAATTTAAAAAATATAGTAATAATAAATAAAATTAAATAAATAATTATTTTAAAGAAATAAGCCAAGACTTTGAAGATTCTGCAGAGCAAGTGTGACTAGTAATATTCACCAGTACGTAAAATAAAATTTTGCTTTCAAGAGTTGAAGGGAAGTGGCATAAAATATATTATCCAGAGAGGCACATTAATTTCTCTGAACAGCGCTAGCTGCAATTTTGTCTTTCTTTCCACTCACTGATTAAAATTTGATCCTTTCCTTTTGAAAAGGCTTTGGTGTTTATCTTATTACATCCTAGATTTAGTTATTCTTTCTTGCCAGTATAAAGGTTTTTTCCTGCTCCCATTCATAAGTCACTCCTGGATGTTTTCAACATCCCTTCAAATAGCTTCTTATTATTTATTGTCTTTTTTTTTTTTCAGAGAAATTTTTGCTAAAGGGTATGTGCACTTGCCAGAGAGACAGAAAGAGAGAGACAGAAATATAGAGGCAGAAAGCAAGAAATCACCCCCACGGAGGATGGCTGTGCTGCAGTCCCTTCTCCTACATTCTCCTCTTGAGATTTTGGGCATGCACACATACGTGCCTGGCATGAGTTTGAAATCACAGGGTCCGAGACTTGAACCGCGGTCAGCCATGTGGGAGTACAACAACATAACCGGTATGCAATCTGCTGGTCCCATCTTCAAATAGCTTCTTAAAGCAATCAGCATTTACAAATGAAATGAATAATGTCTGGGAGTAATGAGAGCAAGAAAGAGCTATGGATAAAACAAGACTTACTGGGACCAGCAGTTAGCATAATGGCTATGTTGCTGGACTCCCATATAGTCGAGCACAGCTGAGTCCTGGACCTGGTGGCTTAAAACTCATGCCGGGCGCATGTGTGTGCATGCCCAAGATTCTGAGAGGAGAACGGAGGAGAAGGAATTGCGGTATGGCCATCCCCCCTGGGGGGTGATTTCTCGCTTTCTGTCTCTCTGTCTCTGTCTGTTTGTCTGGCGAGTGCACGCGCCCTATGGAAAAAACCTCTCCAAAAAAGAAAAAAAAAAAAACAAGACTTACTGTGAGTTGATAATTGCTGGAGTTGGGAAATGGGCAAACAGGAGTTAATTACACTGTTTGAAATTTTCTATAATGAAAATTTTAGGTAATATCTTCATAATAGTCATATCATGTACCTTGTGATGATTTTCTTATGAAGGGCACATTGTTCCTCATTGGCTCAATTGTAATTTAACCTAATTCACAAATCTAAACAGTGTTTTGAGGTACCTTACCTAATGACATCTACAATGAAAAGAGGTCTTCTAAATACTCTTACTTATATTGTATTATGTCAACAATAACCACCTAGGCTACTCTAGTTATTGTGACTTAGGTTAAAGATAAGCCATTAGCTTCCTGGCAATCAAGATAAAAAATGAACTACAGTAATAAAGTTTATATTCTGATAGAAGAAAACGCCAAACAGATTTTTCCTCTTACATTACATTCTAATGTTAAAATGAACTTTCAGTATTTATCATAAAACAAAGGATGCCATTTATTAATAACAAAATGGAAATTGTCTTTAAGATGGCTTTGCAAAGGAAGTGTTCTTCATATGATCAGTCCTTGAATCAAGTCTTGCCAAATGCCAAGGGGTTTTTGTGGTTTAGCGAGGGGAAAGCAACTCTACTACTCTCCAGTAGTCCAGCCATGTGGCTCTTTCATATTGACTCAAATTAGAATCAGGGATATATTTTCTAAGCAAGCCCATATTTCTTTCTTTCTTTCTTTTTTTTTTTTTTTTTTTTGAGAGGTTTTTGCTATAGGGCACGTGCACTTGCCAGACAGACAGAGAGAGACAGAGAGACAGAAAGCGAGAAATCACCCCCCAGGGGGGATGGCCATGCCACAATCCCTTCTCCTCCATTCTCCTCTTGGGATCTTGGGCACGCATGCACACGTGCCTGGCGTGAGTCTAAGCCACCAGGTCCAGGACTCGAACCGCGGTCGACTATGTGGGAGTCCAGCAACATAGCCATTACACTAACTGCTGGTCCCAGAATTACACTTTCTGATGAGAGTCCATATTATGAACTACAAAAAGGTTCATAGGTTTTATATTTGAACATGAAATTTCACAATGCTCTCAAGTTACATACTTCAATATAAAAACATAGTATAAAAAGTATTAAAATACACTGTATTTTTTACATATTTACATATATATCGAAGTTCTCTTCAGACCCAGTGATGGCAAAGCAGTGGTGCACTGGACCCACATGGGAAAGGTCCTGGATTCCTGTCCCAGACTTCCCTGAATACACCAGAAGGGCATACACATGCCTGTGATTCAGGTCTGCTGAGTCAGGATGGATCACAGCATGAAAACCTTCTCTCTCTCTCTCTCTCCTTCCCCCTTCTGTCAGGAGAAATAAATAAATAAACTTTGAAAATCATCTTTAAATGTTTTTTCACCCTAATAACTGAAATGGTAAGTTCAGTTGGATGGATAAGGAGCCAAAGGGTATAAGTTCCAGTTAGATCTCTATTAAATAGTTTATGCAGCCTTGAGCAGGCAACTTGCACTAACTTTCTCGATCCTGTTTTTTCATCTAAAGCCTAGCTTATTCAATTGAATGTTTCAGTTTCTTTCAGACACTACTGTATCCACTAAATCTTCATGAACGTGAATAAATCTGAAGGTACCATTTAGTTAGTAAAGTTACTCTCACCAGGATTATATCAGAATCGCTGTTACTGCTTTCGATGTCAACCAATGCCTTGCATTCCTGTACAATGTTTATACTCTGCTTCCTTTTCATTTTCCAAGAAGAGACCTAAAGAAAGATATTGAAAATATACACAAGGTTTAGTAACAATCAATGGTACATATTAAACTACGTTCTTTCTTTACTTTATTCAGCCTCTATTAACTGTAGACTTATGAAGGATACATGGCAAAATTTCAATTTCTGACCTTTGTCCTCAAGAAGTATGTGATTTAGGTAAGCGTATGTAAGGGTTAAATAACAGTGCATGACAATAAAAGGAATGTCACTAGGCAAATTAAGTATGAATAAGTAGTATAGACTATGGAGCTCAATGGTGAATCAAAAGATCTGTAGCATTTTTTAAAAGAATATATATGAATTGTTCATATGCTGAATAAATAATGTCTCATATAAAACTTCTGTAGATGTTGCTGGGGAGAATAGCAAAATATCTGTGATAGCTTTCTCTTACTATATAATTACTAATCAATGAATACTAGACACATGGTAGTATGTGGAAAGTCTACGGAAACTTTTTGATACTGAAAAAAAAAAAATGTCCTCATGCTTGAAAAGTTGAGAAAACACAGGCATGCAAAACTTAGGATGCAGGAAACATCTCCCTTAGCTGGAGTAGAAGCAGAGGTAGCAGATTCAGCTCTTGAGGACTAGAACTGTCTCTTAAAATATCTGGTCCTGAGCACCTGTCCCAGAGTAAATGCTAAATATATGTTTGTTGAGTGAAATCAATTAAACAATGACATAGAGGGAAAATTCAAAGAAATTATGATATGCAGATACAGGAAATGATGAGCATATTATTTTTATTAAAAGCTTTATTTTCAGGAAATAGAAGAAAAAGTTAAGCTAAAGTAGACTTTTTGAGAAATTCACAGTGTGATTAAAAACAATTCTCTAGGAAGAACAGTAAGCTAAGTAATTACTTGTATTAACAAAGCAAAACTGTGGTACACATAAGCTAAGATAATTAACTAATTTCAGAGCCATTTTTAATCAAGCTTCTGAAGTACATGATAAGATTTACTTGGTGTATAGGTGCCCTCCTAAATTCATGCTGTTTAGGGTAATATTAAAGTTAATTATATTTCCTGCACCTGTTCTGTCAGGTAGAGTTATGCCTGGTGTGTTTACTGGATGGAAAATTAGGTATTTACCACAAATATTCTTAAAGTAATCAAAAGTTGTTTCAACTGCTGTTTAAAACCTGATTAAATTCATTTTTAAGTGCATATAAAGAATTCCACAGCCTCATGACTTATCCACTTCACTTCTACTTTTTTTTAAATATAGAATGTCTTCTGAAGGAACATTAGCTTACTTTCCAAGAGTTGATACTCAATCTATCATTTCTTCATCTTCTATTTGTTAATCAATTCATTCTAATCTGGTTTCTACCCTTTCCACTCCAACTACAACAAAATGTTTTTCCTGAAATCCTCCCTATTGTCTCTAAATTCTTCAATAAATAGATGTTCTTATGCCTGTACCCAGCTGGACTGTCTTGTCAATAGAATTTGGCCTTTTTTTCTTTTTTTCAATTTGACCAGAGAGAGAAAGGGAGAGTGAGAGAGAAAGTGAGAAAGCAAGCACCAGGTCTGGTATTCGAACTGCGGTTAGTCATGTGAGAGTCCAGTCCCCCAACCACCATACCACCTGCTGGCCCCAGTATTTAGCCTTTTTGACCACTGCTTCCTGAATCACCTGTTTTCTTCTTTTGACTTTAATAATCTAAAAAAATTTCTGGTCTTTCATTGCTCTGGTGACCCTTCACAATTATCTGTGCACATTCATTCTTTGGTGGCTAGTTATAAAAATGCCGATTCTTAAAGATTCACGCTAGTCCCTCTTATCTTTCAGTTTCACTCGCACTCACCTATGTAAATACCTCTCGAGTTTATATGTCCTATCTAAACCTCATCTCTGAAATTCAGGCTTACATATGTGACTTATGTGACACATTATCTTGGAAGTCTAACTACATAAGCTGAACTCATGCTTCTCTCTACAAACCCGGTCCTTCTAGAAGTCCTTATTTCAGCAAATAGAATCACCATCCAACCCAATAAAAGAGCTCAAAAATCTGTAGTCGCTCTTGCCACTTCCTTCTGCTTCATCCTGTATGCCTAATATACTGCCAAGACAGGGCAGTGTTACCTTCTCCACCACCATCATCCTGGCCCACAATACTGTGATCCATTTGACCACTGTCATAATCTTCTAACGCTCTGTCCACATTCACTCTTGTTGGGCAGAACTGCTAAGCAGTACATCATGCACGGGTTATCAGTTCCAGAAGAGGACTCTGAACACTTGTACTTGTTGTATTGGATTGTCTAAAAAGCCATGACGTATTTTTCTGTGTTTTTCTATACAAAAATGTGTCAAGGCTTTCCTGATGCTCAAATATCTTGGTACTGAAGAGTCTGCCAATGGAAGCACTACACTGTCGAGCCCCGCACAGAGCAGTGTTACTCACTCAGAGAGGAGGTAGAGCAAGACCAGCTTCTGCAGTGTGTGTCAGTCCTCCACGGCCAGCAGGTCCCTCCAGCAGCCACCACAGGGCAACTGGCTATGCGCACCTCTATTGTGTTGCGGTAGAAGAATCCAGTCCCCTCCCCTAGGAGGCCAGATAGAGCAGTGGCATAGACCAGGTGCCATGTGACATAGGGTTTAGCAGAACAAAGGAGTACACATTGGGTTTGCAACAGAAAGAAATATTCCCAACAAGGTGATAAGCCCAGAACAAGCTGTGTGGGCTCTTTATCTCTGAGTAAGGCCCAAGCCCAAGGTCCGTCCTGACGCTGCCTTGTGCGGGTCTAAACAATGCAGCAAGACACAGCTTTTCCCAGCTCTGCTCTCTACTCACCTCTCCTACGCTCAGTCTAAGCAATCTTTTCTAAAGGAAATTATAGCCACTCTACTGCTTAAAACTCTTCAATGGTTTCCTATTACTTCTGGGAAAATGCAAAGCCCTTTATCAAGGCCTACAGGACCTGGGGGGCAGGGACTGTCTCTATCGCTACACTGTAAATGTGCTGGAGACATGGTTCCTACCATATGTGGTTTTGCTCACAGTTAAATCACTGTACACTAAGTAGCTGGTACACTAAGCTACTTAGTGACACATCGTAAGGTGTTTTACATAGAAATATATAAATTATGTAAAGGTACAGAGCGTATGTGTACCTTTCATGTGCCTATGTGTGTTATTTCACATATGCCTATGTTTGTATTTCACATACAAACTGACATGCATGCTAGATGAAGAGAATTCCTATAGTTTGGCTAAAATGTATTGTTCTAACCCTTGGATAGCCTCTCAGCTTCACGACTGATGATATGGTTTCACAGCATGCAATGCATCTATGAAATAAACCAACAAAGCTGAAATCTTGAAATCACAGGGTTAAAGAAGGTATGACTATAAAGAGATAAAACTACTTTTATGTCATAAACAGGTAACACTTTGAACTCACTAAGAGGTAAAGATGTTCAAAAAGAGTCAAAGATACCATTTGCCAAAGATATTATAAAGCAATATGTGAGAGATTTCTATAATATAACTATTACTCAAAATAATTTGTTTTGTAAGAACCGTGCCTAACATAGTATCTTACATAGGGCAGAAGCTTGGCAGCCAATTGCTGATTAAATGAGTTTATTGCTTGCAGAGCCTGTGGCAATTCATTTGAATAGTCTCGATGGTAGCCCATATACACCCTTTAAGGATGAGTATAATTTGTGGAAACAGTAAAATGGCTTTAGAAGCCAAATTTGATGGAGAATAAATTTTGGTTTATTAAAAGATATAAAATGGAAGTTACTAAGACAATATCTAAAATCATTCAGTACTGAACCTGGCATATAGTTAATGCAAAATTCAGTTGTAGTTGGGATTATTATTATTATTATAAACTAAATCTGAGAGCACATTCTCAAAAAAAAGTAAATAGCAACATCATAAGAATGAATGTATTATGCTTCTTTTCAAAGAAACAAACTCATTTGGATACATGGAAACACTGAAATGGGTACATTTGTTAAAATCCACCTCATTGTGTGTATGTTGATATTATATCTTATTTACCAGAACATGGACTATAGGAGTATAACCCATGTATGATTTAGCTAAAATTTTCATTATAAAACATTGAATGTAAAATCCTAAAGATTAAAAGGTTTATACCACACGAATATGTCTCTTAAATGCAGATTTAAAATCCTTTCCACCAGGCTTTCTGTGAGAGCCCTGCATCTGGTTGGGCTCTCTAGAAACTGTGCTGATATTTAAAAAATCTGACTTTTGGGGCCAGCACGTTGTGTGATGGTTGGGGACTGGACTCCCAACCATATGGTGACTGTGGTTCAAGTTCTGAATCTGGGCTTTTCCTCTCACTGTCTCTCTCCCTCTCTCTCTAGTGAGTGCACATGTCCTATGGCAAACAAACAAACAAAACAATAACAAAAACCTTATGTAAAAAAATTTGACTTTTCTTCCAAAATAGAAAATACAAAAAAAAAAAAAAAAAAGAAATTGGGATCTTCTAAAAAAAAAAAAAAAAAAAAAAAATAAATTGGGATCTTCTCCAGGAAACACAAATTGCAATGTATTTTCTTTAATCAGAGTGCTTTGAAAATGTGAAAATGAAGCAAAACTTTTCCCAAATGCCATTTCCAGAAAAAGTGAATTATTATACATTTTTAAAATAACAACAACAAAATACCTGAGATCTTTCAGCTAGTGTGATATTTTCTGGCAGACCTGCTGGATGTCTCTGCTGTTGAGGTTTTGTTTTCTTTTTCACAGACTTCATAACTATAGTCTCGGAAACGAACTCCACATCGGAGTCGGTCTCTTCTGTGTTTCGTTTTCGGCTTTTGTGGCTGACTGAAAGCTCGAAGCATGAAGGAGATTCATGCTTCAAGTCATCACTCAAAGATCTGATTTTCTGAGTTTTAGTATTTTCCTTAAATAACAAAGAATATGTTTTTTAATATTTTGGTAGCCAGCCTATTTAAGATAAATTACCATTTGCTTAATTATCTTATCCTATCAGTAAGTAATATTTCTTACTACTAATGCAACTTTTAAAAATCCGAAGCTGAATCAACTTCAGCAAATCTATATTGTACTGGCTCATTAAGAATTGGATTCAGGTAGAGGCTGGATGGTGGCCCTGTGGTAAAATGCAAGCTCTGTGAGACTGACCCACAGGCAAGGCTCTGGTCCCTTCCTGGGACCTCCAGGATATAGCAGGTACATGTGTGCCTGCCTTTTGGGTGAGCTGGGGAGTGAATGGTGCTGTCAAAACTCTGTGGGGGTGATGTATCTTTGTCTCTCTCTCTTCCCCCTTCTCATGGAATAAACTTTAAAGAAAAAAGGTAAATATAATTATTAAAACCTTTAAAAAAAATTGATTCAGAAATAACCACAGAGCTGAACTAAGGCAAGAAAATTGATTTCGAGGATGCAAAAGGCCTCCAAATTGAGAACACACTGTGCAGCCTGACTTCCTCCAGACAAAGACTGCTTCCCTTTGGCTCCCTGGTAGGCTCCTTCCCTAGCACACCTCTGGCCTACTTCCTGCCTCCCCCCCCCC